GTGATTAAACAGAACTCCTTCCGCCCAAAACAAGTATACGCCAGTGGAAAATGAAACCATATCTCATCCTCACCACGTTGTATACTGTCGGGTAGATCGCTAGTCATGGTCTGAAGCCACAAATGGGTCAAACTAGCATCTCCACCCGGATGCTGTACTCTCAGCCATGGCCCGAAGCAGGTTTCTTCAAACAATTTTCTTTGTGCAGGTGAAAGCTTCGAAGCAATTGTAGTGGCTAGGCTAACTTTATTCCTTAATGTCAATGAAGCCGAAAAAAATTTCTACAAAAAAACAATAAACATACCAAGTTAGATATACCAAAAACTACACTGTCAAGATATACCAAAAACAAAACAATAAACATAAATAGTAGTTTATTCTTGAAACTAAAATTTGCAACACTGTTTTTGTCTTTTGGTTGAAATGAAAATCGCAACGAGATAATGAGAATCGCAACGCGGAAATGACTATCGCAACGAGAGAATCGCAACGAGAGAATCACAACGCGAAATGACATCGCGACCAGACAATCGCAACGCGAAATGAAAATCGCAACCGCGAAATAAAAATCGCAACGCGAAATGAAAATCGCAACGCGAAATGAAAATCGCAATGCGATTTTTGTTTCGCGTTGCGTTTTTTATTTCGCGTTGCGATTCTCTCGTTGCGATAGTTATTTCCGCGTTGCAATTTTCATTCTCAAAACTATTCTTCTTCTGCATTACTTCAACCAAAAGACAAAACAAAGACAAATACTAACTTCACAGGCTAAACAGTTTAGCAGTATTGGCAGCAATCGAATGAATTTAATAAGAAATCTAAGTGAAATGATTAATCTATTATTGAAATTACCAGTAAACTTATCATCAATCTCAATATGAAAAACCTAAAATAATGCAAAAATTTCAAAATAAAAATAAAAAAACTAACCCTCGGAAGTTGATTTTCCATTTCTGAATGATTGTGAGGGATTTTTGACTGTGAATGGTTGTGAGGGATTTCGCCGGCGATGGGAACGGAAATCTTCGGAGATGGGGACGGATTTCGCCGTAGAGAGTGAGAGATGGAGATGGGACTGAGTGTTGTGATTTTGGGTTTGAGGTTATGAGTTGCGATTACTGTGGACGGTTCAGTTTCCGATTTATTAAGAAAAAATTCGTGTTTGGAATTTGAAAAAAAAATACGCGTTAATACGAATGGCACTATGTAAATCGCGTTGCGAAAGTCAGAATCGCGTTGCGAAAGTCAGTATCTCGTTACGATTTTGTATTATCGCATTGCGATAGTCAGTATCGCATTGCGATTTTCCCAATTCGCGTTGCGATTTACTTATTCGCATTGCGAATTGGGAAAACCGCAACGACACTGTATACCATCGCAACACGATTTCCAACTATCGCAACGCGAAATGCAACACGAATTTGCGATAATGGAGATCGCGTTGCGAATTAGCGATCGCATTGCGATTTTGTTGGTCATTTTGGCAAATTCGGAAAAAATTGGTTAAAATCGTATATTATATGGGAGTTTTGGTCACTGAGGTTATTTTCTCTATTTAATAAGTCGAACTCAGATTATCACAAATTTATTATGTTTTATGTTGATTATTCGAATAGTTGAGTATTTCATCATCGGAAAACGATGAATCGCTGCCATTGGCTTGAGTTTCAACGTCTTACCATAGTTTTGTTTTCATCCACTGATTAAAAAATATTAATGCTTTTGTTGGTTCAAATATCCAATCAATTCCTCCCACCTTCCATGATTTTATATAATGTATATGGTTGATTGACTGAGACCAACCACAAAACAAATCCAATCTTGTAATCATGGCATGCTTCATCCTGTAACCATGACATAAATCAATGCTAAATAATGATCTTCATTATTGTTATTGTAATTTGATTGTTTTCTGAGAAAAAATAATTACTTGCACTAATGGGCATTCATTGCTTCTAGGGTAAATTACACAAATAATCTCTCTATTATGGGATATTATCTTTAACGTTGGGGTACTACAATGAAATGAAAATTAAACATTATGTATGGTTTTGAAAGAAAAAAATGAAAGTATAGGTTGTAGAACGGACCAAAACTGATAATGTAAGTACTAAACGCATAATTGACTCTAGAATCTAATATCAAAATTGATTGAGCTGTATTTTATAAATCGACTTTCCGTTTATATTATATCGTCGAGTCAATGCTTAAAACATTATGTTGTTGAGTCAGTACTTGAAAGCATAACGATGCCAGTAGACATCATTAAAATGTTGTTATATTATATCTTAGTCAGCAAGTTAACATCCAACTCAAACGGCCGCCAATTTTTTAATGAAAAAGAGCGAACTTGGAATATATGAATAGTAAGGTCACCATTTTGAAAATTTTAATAGTTGAGGGACTAATACATAACATCCTATAGTTAGAGAACCATTTTATAACTTTTAATAGTCCGAAGACTCAACAAAATAACGTCTTATAGTCGAGGGACCGTCTATTCAAAATTTTCTCAACCTATCGACAATACACACATCCTCATATGCAACTGCTCGAACTTATAACTTTTAAAGAGAGTAACAAAACATAGTATTAAATTATATTTCAATAACAAATTTAATTACCGTAATAACAATAAGTTTTTTTTTTCTTTAAGGGTTCCCTTCAAGATTCAAACATGGTGTGTGATTGTCACATGGTTAAGGCTCCTGTAATCACTTCATGTCATTATCTTTGGAAAAATCATTCAAATTTGAATCAATCTCAGGACACCATCATTTGAAGAGAGAAAAATCTTTGTCATCTTCAACCTTAAGTTTCCTTCATGTTTATACGTTCATCAAGCTATCATGCTTTTCTATGGTAAAATATTCATAATTAAGCCATCAGTTTCAATTATAAGCACATATTTGATAACTTCACCCTAACACCAATGTAGATCCGACACTGGTTGAAAATGTGGTCGTGGAAGAGATGAACAGTCATGAACCAGAAGTTCAGTCTGCACGCGACCTTGAAAAACGTTATGATACAACCAAATGTTACTCCGCTTCAATTTAGTACTACGCTAATGGCATGGATCCCCCATGTGAAGAAGACGAAGAAAGTATGCAAGTGGGTGATGAGCTTGCCCGGAACTAAAGTCAAAGGAGACGAAACCTGAAATTCTTCCTGGATCAAGTGTCGTTATGTAGGAGCAAGAGAGAGACCGGCACCGCTGATGATCAAACTGATTATACTCAAACTCGAAGAGCAAAGGGAAAAATCGAACGGCTTTCCTCTACAGCGGCGGAAGACGGAGTGGAAGGCCAAAGACCTTCTAGCAGTGTGGACTTAGGAACCTGAACAGGGGACACGATTATGATGTTCATGATGAACATATACATTTATATAAATAGGTGTTTGATTTTTTTGTTTGATTAACGTGGGATATGTACAAGATAATAGTATTCTTTGTTTAAAAATAATTTTTAACTATTTTCGACATTATAATCCCAAAAACAACAGTTTTTTATTACTCGAATTATTAAAAAATAACGCTTCTTTTATTACTCGAATTATCTAATAATTCACTTTGCTTTTTGAGGTTACGGTTCGACTGACGAATCAACCACACCTGGCAGGCGGCGGTATTAAAGTCTATGTTCTACTTTCCCTGTGCACCTATGGATATGGACTCAAACTCCCTTCAACTAAGGGATTATTATTAACAATTAATTATAATCATTAAGATACAAATTAATTAATTTCAGTAGTAAAAGAATTATTATTATTTTTTAAGGTTTTAAATTTAAGTATAAAAAAATCAGAGTGAACATTTAGCATCAAATAGTTAAATATTATATCTAAATAGATATTGTCTTGTATTTCTTTCAGATTAATAAAAAAATATTTATTAAGCCACATTTTTACCATTGGGGCCAACCAACCCAAGCCTAACCAAGTTGTCCCTCTCTTTGACTGTTCCCTAAAAAAAAAGTCTCTCTTTTTGTTCCATTGACCCTTGATTTTAGGGCAACCCTAATTCCTCCAAGCTACCGCCTCCCCCATGTGATCTCCTCCTAATTTCCCAAACTACCCACGCCCTTCAAACATTTGACTGTTTAGGCTACTCAATTTCATGAGTGAGTGAGATTAAAAAAATTAAATCTTTATTAATTAAAATAATTTAAAATATTTTAATTCGGTTCAATTCGATCAAATATTCATCTTTACTCCTCAAAACATGCTAACATGGACATGGTTGCCAACTTTCTGAGGCCAATCCTATCATTTTAGTGAAAAAACAGTGTAGGTTAATAAAAAAACAAGGTGGCAGTTGATTGATATTGCCAGGATTTCTCTACTCTTTTTATCTTGTCGGTATATACAATTTCAACGAAGTTTCTACTATTCTTGTGCTTTAATTATAAGAGTAACAAAAATAAATCTTCAACAAAATGATGTTGTGTTATGAGTATTATAAGCTAATTCAACTTGTTCTGCTCTTCAATGTGTTATTAAGAAACCGTAGTTTCCAGAAAAGAAAAAAAGGTTTCTGCTTCATACATTATAAAGGAAAAGTGAGGAGAAAAATAAATAAAAGAGTAGGAAAGCTTAGAGTACAGAGTAAGTTGACACCCTCTTTTATCATTCAATTCGATCTTAACTTGCTTTATTTTTCTGAATTTTAGTTTCTTTTTTTGAAACTGGGTGATGGTTGTTGTTGTTGTTTGATTTCTCTCTCCTATTTTCTGCTGGAAAATTTTATGGGTGGGTATGTGGTAACATGATTTATTATCGACTTTAATGCCCTTTTCACTTGATTTTGCTTTGGAGTTTGTCAAAAAGGTTCTTTCTTTCTGTAAAAACCCTTCTTTTTCTTGCTCATTATTTTGGTGATGCAATTAGTAACACCTTCTTGTTTCCAACATTTTATCTTTTCTCTTGTCTTGGAAGAAATCTCAAGTTAAGATTTTATCATATTTTTCTTTTGTTTTTTGCTTTCTCTTTTTAGCTCCATGTTAGTATCTGCACACTCTTTGGGTCTTATGCATCATCCTGTTTCCCCTTCTTTTTCTCAAGCTTCTTGTTGTTTTCTTACTTTCTTCAGGATTTGGGATCTGGGTAGTTCTCAGATTTACTAGTTCACTCTTACTGATTTTAAAAATTTGAGGATTTTTTTTAATAGAGAGAAGGAGAGTGAAAGAAGGAGATAGATCATGGCAGGAGGAGGAGCTCCAGCGAAAGCAGATGAGCCACAGCCACATCCACCGAAAGAGCAGTTGCCCAACATTTCTTATTGTATTACAAGTCCACCTCCATGGCGTGAGTTTCTTCTACTCTGCTCTTCTGTTTATGTTCTATTTTTTCTCCTCAGTTTTGACAGCTTAGATTTCCACTCTTGTGTTCAGTTCATTGGTTGTCTACAGTATGATTCTTGTGAATCCAGGTAGATTTTTTGTTCCTTTACAGTGATGCTTGTGAATCTCAGGGAATATTTTAGATGGATTTTTGGTTCGTTTACAGTGTGATTCTTGTGATTCCCAGGGAATGTTTTAGGTATATTTTGATATTAGTCATTGTTTTTATGGATTTATACTTCTCTATTTCTTTTTCAGCTGAAAGTAGCTTTTTTGGGTTATTCTTTCGGCTGAGATACCCCTTTTTGGAAATGTGAAAATCCACTCTTCTGCAGGAAAATAGAAGGACCTTTTTTTTTATTTCTTTTTTATTCTAATTCCCATGGGGGAAAGAAAAGAAAACATATTTGTTTTTGATAACTAATCTACTAATGTTTGTGTTTATTTTATTGAATGAGGAGTATTATGTATGTGTATTATTTTATATGGATATTACTATTTTTTTGAAAACAATGTTTGTGTATGCATCTTTTGGCAACTGAGGATGATGATTCTACTATTCTAGTCGTATGATTATTGATTTGGTTGGAGTTAACCCGAGACCAAGTTTTCTGTGCAGTTTGCTTCTCTTTTGGTTCAATTTAGTTTAGCATTTCCTTCTACCTTCTGTTCCTTTCTACTTATCTTCAACCATTTTTTTCATCCTCAATCCTCATCGTGTTCATTTTCTCTGGGGGTCTTCTCTTTCTACTATGAACATTTTAGGAATTCTTATGTTTTTTCCTTGATGTGGGTTGAAGACATTAGATTCCTATTGTTGATATGCCTTCATTTCGCTATTATGTGATTAACTACTGTTATCGTTGGCGTTTGTTGGCTGGTAGGGAACAATTGCAATTATTCTCTTGTCATTTTGGTCTGGTATTTGATGCAGCCGAAGCGATCCTTCTTGGTTTTCAACATTATCTTGTGATGCTTGGCACGACAGTGATCATTCCCAGTTCTCTTGTTCCTCAGATGGGAGGTGGAAATGTAAGGCTTCTGAAAATTGATCAAATTTGAAGTATCAATAATAGTTACTTACTTTGATTACTATGGTAATTTGCCTGGGCATTATTTTTTCAATCATGTTATTGCAATGACCTCTATAGGAGGAGAAAGCAAAGGTGGTCCAGACTTTACTCTTTGTAGCTGGTTTGAACACATTGTTGCAGTCACTGTTTGGGTCTAGATTGCCTGCTGTGATTGGAGCGTCTTATACCTTTGTCCCAACAACAATCTCTATTATCCTTGCTGGTCGGTTCAGTGATACTTCAGATCCTATTGAGGTTTTGTGATCTAAACTCCATTTTTCTATATGGGTGATGTGTGTTTGGAATTGCCAAAGTTGCTTTAAATTTGGAGAAGCAAGCACTCTAATAAGTTAAGCTGTTTTTATCCTGCTTGAATGTTACTAATGCGATACCATGTTTCTTCACTCTTCGACATTCTATTGAAAGAATAGCATAAAGATGTTTAAAATGTATGCCTTGTTTTCTTAATAGGAGTTTACAAACTCTTCTCATTAGAAGGTACCGTATTCTAGATTAATTTTTTTAGTTTATTGCTTCAAAAGTAAATAATACAGTCAAAGAAGTAACTAAGTTTTCCAGTTTGAATACCAACATTCTGCATATTGGCGTTTCTCGGTTTGTTTAATATTGTGTGTTTTGATACCTTTCAGAGATTTAAGAGGATAATGCGGGCAATTCAAGGTTCCCTCATTGTTGCTTCAACTCTTCAGATTGTACTTGGCTTCAGTGGCCTTTGGCGTAATGTTACTAGGTTCGTTGCTTAGTGTTTAAATATTTCAGGGAAAGCTTGATGCTGATTCACATGAAAGTTAGCTTTCGTATATCAAGAACATAGTAAAATATTGTAGTGCAACGTTCTTAGTTATTCCAATTATACATGTTCTATTTTTCCATTTATCAGGTTCTTAAGTCCACTTTCGGTTGTTCCTTTGGTCTCCCTAGTTGGTTTTGGGCTTTATGAGTTCGGGTTTCCTGGGGTAAGTCTATGCTTCATATGATACACTATGTGAATGGATAGACTAACATGGTATTAGATCATCATCACTATGTATTTTAACTATTATTTCCATTAATAGGTTGCCAAATGTGTGGAGATTGGATTGCCTCAGTTGATTCTTGTAGTATTTGTTTCACAGGTACTAATTTTTGGGACATGCTGTTATCCATTTTATAGTTACAGTCTTGCATGTTTGTGACTATTGATTTCAGTCGACTTCAAAACTATCACTTTTTATTTATCAAAATACTCATCATTTGTCTGTTTACTTGCAGTACATGCCTCATGTGATAAAGTCTGGGAGACACCTGTTTGATCGTTTTGCCGTCATATTTTCAGTGGTGATTGTTTGGATTTATGCTCATTTACTCACCGTTGGTGGTGCATATAACGGTAAAGCACCAAGGACGCAAATAAGCTGCCGTACCGACCGTGCTGGTCTAATAGATGCTGCTCCATGGTGAGTTTATGCAGAATCCTTTGTGCAGTTGCTCCATCATGTTTTCAATTGGTATATCATGCATAATATAACCTATTACATGGTTTTGGTATGAGGTACACTTCAATTGAATGGTTAAGTTCACCCGTTTTAAATTATGTGCAAACTGGTTTGCAAGACTGGTATATACGTGTTTCATCTCTAGGAAAATTCTGCTTGTTATCTATATTGGTATATGTAGGATGAAGTTTTGGATGTAGTAATTCCAAGCCTATTTGCATTCTATGAAATATTAATTTGTAATTGGTTTAGAATTGTGGAACAGTTTTGGTCCTGGGTTTGCTTCACAGGTTAACCAGTACTATAAAATGAATCTTTTGGACTCATGTTTGATATCGAACTTAAAGATATCTTTTCACTATAATGTGATATCATTTGTCAAGAATGGAATAGTTATAACTTCTTACAAGAATTAGCAATGTGCAGGATTAGAGTTCCTTATCCCTTTCAATGGGGAGCACCTTCGTTTGATGCTGGTGAAGCCTTTGCCATGATGATGGCTTCTTTTGTTGCTCTTGTGGAGGTGTGTTTTCTTCTGTTACGAATGAAATTCATTAACTTTTCAAATGTTTTCTTTCTACTTTGATTTTTGTAAACTAAAAGTCTGAATGGAGTGTCCATTATCACAATTTTTGTTGTTTGTGTTGCTCTGGCCCTTCATTTTTCCTGAAGTACTTATATCCGACACCCGTGCCTGTGGCAATTTTTGAAATTGGTTATGGAGAGATATACCCTTATAAGGTGCTCATATCCTAGTTCGAATACACAAGATGCTTTTATTATTGGTATCTTTTTCCTTTTATGTCATTTCTTATCGGCTCACTTGCACTGTTTTTTATTTGAACTCCTCTATGAACTGGCTCCAAGTTTTCTTTCGTGTTTTTTATCCGTAGTGTTAAAAGTATCACATATATCTCTGCTTAAACATGCATCAAAGCAACTTAGGGAATTGATAGTTAACTGCAGTGTTATTCGATAATTCAAGTTACTAACCTTTTCCTGTTCAATGTCTTGACCAGTCTACTGGGGCTTTTATTGCAGTGTCAAGATATGCTAGCGCAACTCCAATGCCACCATCTATTATTAGCCGTGGTGTTGGTTGGCAGGTAATTTGATAAAGCTTGTTGCATATGCCTATATGATTTCAAGAAATTTTGTACGATTAAGATTACTTGTTAAATTGGCCGTCTTGTATTCTATGATAACATGGAATTGCCCCACTGCTAACATAATGCCTGAGATTTCTTCAATTCCATGATAACAGGAGAGAGGACCCTGCATTTCCATTTGACATCTGGAAGTTTCATATCAGTTTACTGAAACTTCAGTTTCATGTTAATATTGCATTCTTATCGTTTGCAAAGTAACTTGTTTTTTTTTTTGCATGCTTTAGGGAGTTGCAATTTTGATCTCTGGGTTGTTTGGAACTTCCAATGGATCCTCGGTATCCGTGTAAGGCTTTTACTATAGACTTTATTGTTGTACCCTCTATTTACTGTTTATTTAATGAAAAAAAACAGAATTCGCATATTAACTTTGGTCTTGTTACAGAGAGAATGCTGGTCTTTTAGCCTTGACACGTGTTGGCAGCCGAAGGGTTGTCCAAATCTCAGCTGGATTTATGATTTTCTTCTCCATTCTTGGTAATTTGCAGATTTAGGATAAATTTCCCTATTTAGCACTTGTGCATTTTGTTTTCATATTTAGTTGATTTTTTTTTTATAATTAACGTGCAGGAAAGTTCGGAGCGGTATTTGCTTCAATTCCAGCACCCATTATTGCTGCTTTGTACTGCCTATTCTTTGCTTATGTTGGTACGAGTCTGATTTCGGCTGTTTACAAGGATACACATTCTATGATTTATGAGAAGCACTTTCTAGTATCAGTGTTTTAATTCCTCGTGTTTCTGCAGGTGCTGGAGGACTTAGTTTTCTTCAATTCTGCAACCTGAACAGCTTCCGAACAAAGTTCATATTAGGTTTCTCTGTTTTTATGGGCTTATCTGTGCCACAGTACTTCAACGAGTATACTGCAATCAATGGCTATGGCCCTGTTCACACAGGCGCAAGATGGGTATTTATGCTAAATCTCTTTTGAACCTTTTAATCTTGAACAACCTACTGTTACAATAATTTTACAGTGAACTGTGGCGGACTTATTGACAAGGGTTTTATGCATGCCATATACAGTTCAACGACATTGTAAATGTGCCATTCTCATCGGAAGCATTTGTGGCGGGTTGCGTGGCATATTTTCTTGATAACACATTGCATAAGGACGGCGCGATTAGGAAGGACAGAGGTAAGCATTGGTGGGACAAGTTCAGGACGTTCAAGGGCGATTCGAGGAGTGAAGAGTTTTATTCCCTGCCCTTCAACCTGAACAAATATTTCCCATCCGTGTGATCATTCGAGGCAAGAGAGTTAAAAAGGTGACGGTATCAAATATTTATGTCCAAATTGTAGATCACCTCTTATTATCAACCAGTGATTGCGACCCTACCATGTTAATTGTATTACAACATGCAATAGCCAGTATGACGTAGTGTTTCCCTTTATCACCTCTTTATTATCCCTGGCCTTGGAACATGTATTGAATTGGTTTGTTTAATTTCTGCTGTAAATCCGACGGAGATATGTGGATTTCAAGTACAATGAAGCAAGTTCTAATACCTCTGATTTATTCCTTCTTGTTCCATTCATGAATAGTTCCTGCACTGCCTCGCTTGCACACATTGTTTTGGATTATCTTCGGTGTAGCTTTTGACATTTAAAGGCAATCTGATGGCATAATCAGCATCATTGTCAGGAATATGCGAACTTGAAAATTTATATTATAAGTTTTAAAATATTTTAAAATGTATAAAAATTTTAGGGATGTAAAATTTGACATATATGAAATCGAAGAACTGGATTGTTAAAATATCAAAGGCTTACAGAGGCATAAACTTGTGTAAATTAATCCATTTCCAATATATATATATATATATATATATACATGACACTATTAGAAATGGATCTCTCCCGCTATATATAAAGCAGTTTAATTGATATGATACAGGGTTGCATTTTCTGAAATCCACAACAATGGACTCAGTAGAAATACGACAGTCCATGGGCTATATCTGAAGACCTTGAAATTTTTCTTTAACTTTTCTATTAATGAAGAACCACTTCAGCACACTGAAAACCTTGGTCCATCTCCTCTGCGCTTGAACAGCAACGGTGCGTTGCAAAAGGAATCCAAAATTTGAAGTTCTAACATTTAGTTGTGAGCTGTTTGTCTTTTAACTTATCCCATTTGGGGCTTGATTCTCTCTCTATAACCTTGTAGACGATCATTTCTCCAGTCAACTTGATCTGTGAAAGAGATTTAGTTTTAATGAACCTGTTGTTATTTTATATATCGAAAATTCTCTTAATTATAGATCTCCGGTTATTTATTCTTTGTATTTCCTGAAAATGTAAACTACCAATCACTTTTTAGCATGTGGTGCATTTTAACAGGAAGAAGTTAAAAGTGCAGAAAGAGCAATCAAGTTGATGGGTGCTTCAATATTGCAACTCTGCTCAGGCATCTTTTTTCATATTTCCTACAAAAAATGATAATTATATTTCAGTTTTGAGATTTGTGAATGACATGCTATGATATTTGGACTCGTGCAGGATGTGGCTATGTGTTTGCCACTGATATACTCTATTCATATTTATAAGTTTTTTCACGTATTAGAAGGATCATACATGTATTTGGCTATGTCCAAATATGTATCAAAACACGGTTACTTTAAGGAATATGAAGAGTCCGAGTAACAAAGGTGGCATGTAAAGCATAATAGATAAAAATAAGCAGGTCATCGTTTGGCCTATAACTATGGCGTGATTGCTTTGCATAGTTTCCATTTAGCCTCATGGGTTTCATCCAAGTTAAACACTTCTTGCATGTAAAGTACATATACGTTCTTGCACTTTCGATTTAGTGCAGGACCAAAGTCAATCATTGTTTTCAGGTTAAGATCATTATCTCTGATGGATAAATAGAGTAATGGGCAATGCTATTGTCGTTCAAGTAAAAAGTTAAGGGAAAAAGAAAACCATTTCTACTTGTTGTCTACTTTTCCTGCCTTAAATATGGAGAAACTGGTGCCGAGACTTTGAGGAAAATGATACTGTTGTGGGTGATCATCTTATGTGAACATGTGTGGTTAACTTCATACTTCTATGGAGTCGATTTGTTTTTAGGAGATGCAAAATTTTGGGCGTTATTATCAAAGAATTCCGGAGTAGAAAGCAGATGGGGTCTGAGGGATCCATGAAGATGGCTATTTGTTTAATAGAAAATGAAGAGTCCGAGTAGCATAGGTGGCATGTGATGTGATGCATAATAGATAAAAATAAGAAGGCCATTGTTTGCCCATCAACTATGGCATAAATGCTTTGCAAGTTTCCATCGAGTCTCTCTGTTTTCATCAGTAAGTAAAGTAGGTTAAATACTACTGGTTTCATTACTCTTTCAATTTAAGATCCATGTACACCAGATACTTTTACTCGATTTAGTGCAGGACCAAAATCGTTCGTTGTGTTCAGGTCAAGATCTTTATCTGTGATTGATAGTTAGGGTAATGGTCCCTGCTATTGTGATTTAAGTAAAAAAATCATTTCTTTTTCTCGCCTGCTTTTCCTTCTATAAGATATGGAGAGACCTTGCTGAGACTTTGAAGAAAATGATACGACTGTGGCTGATCATATAATGTGAACACGGGTGGTTAACTTCATCCTCCTATGAAATTGATTCTTTTTTTTTTAGGAGATGCAAAATTTTGGGCATTTGTACCAAAGGATTTTGGTGGAGTGATCAGATTGGATATCTGGGATTATGAGATGACTATTTATGCTAAAACAGAAATGATACAGATTGGTTTGCTGAAAGAGTGATTGGGATTTGGGCTATGTAAGGACCGCCTGGTTATATCCAAGTCCACATATGGGTGCGAAGACTTGCGTGTCTGCATACGCACATGCATAGTGAATGCAGTAGCATGCACCAAATGATCATCTTATTTCCATTTGAATTTTACAGATTCGCCTTGGACTGTTTGGTCATTGTTATCAAAAATTGGATTTCCCCATGACAGAAATGTTCTCTTTGTGAATTCCTATTCCTTTTCCCTGGTTTCCGAAATGACATTATTTATTTGGGTTGTGCTTTTAATAAGATCTGTTCTATTTTTTATAGTCATTTGCTATTTTCGTTCATTTAGCCGTTTTGTTCAACTTTGAAACCGACCTTGCATTAATGAAGTGAGAATAACCTTCCCTATGTTTCTTTGTGAATTCATGTAGTGGAATCACGCAACCCACACGGACAGAGAAATGCTATCATTTGCTTAAAAAATGGCTCCACGCCAAGAAAATATCCACGTGAACCAGGTACACCAACAAAAGTACCACTCTAATCTGTAAGGTGTCTCTTCTGCTGTCTGCTTTATGTTGTTATGCTTCCTGCAGCTCCAAATGTACATGACTTCTGTTCTTAATCCTTTTTCTTAATTGCCAAAATGGTTATGAATTCAGAATAAGCTTAGGATTTTATCCTCTGCAGTCTGGAGAGGACTATTGTGCTCCACATGCAGTTACTCTTCCCCCCCCCCCCAATGTATTTGGCTTTTTAATTCGGAGTGACTTTTCTAACTTGGATGGCAAGATTTTAAATCAGTCTCTTCCTTTTGTCTTTTGCATGAATTGTCCTTAAATTTAAATGAATTAAATCAGAATAACATAGATTATGAGGGAATATAATACAAATATTTTTATTTCAAGGAAGCAATAGATCTGTTTACCGGCAAATTTCCTTAGAAAATGTGGTGGAAAAAAAGAATTGCTCATGTGGAGTGTAAAGGAAATTATTTTCTCAACAAGAGTGAAATAAATAGTTTATGGAGAAGACGCTTGGATCACCTGACACTCTTGAAAGACGTGTTATCTTCTAGGTTAGTATGCTGCAAAGGTTGGCGTTCACAATACATGTAATCTAAGAAAGACGACGTATCTTCCCAAAGACGTCAGGTGGTTCGAGTGTCTTCCCCATCCGACGTTCATTTCACCTAGTTGAGAAATTAATCTCCCAACACTCTGTACGAGCCGTTCTTTCTTTCCACCACATTATCTCATCAAATTTGCCCCTGTTTACCTCTCTATACATTATCCAAAGTTACTTATACAGTAATATATTTAAATATATAAAGAGGGCTGGTTTTGAATACAACAATTAGTGGGGAAGAAATTAGGTTACATAATGGGGAGAGGAGAATAGTGACACTTACCTAATTTCTCAGCCACTTGTTCATTGAAATTTATCAAAACATGGCTCGTGATTTGTTAAAGATCTTAGTTGCATAATAAGAGTATTCAATCGTCCACAAAACATTTGACCACCAAGATATCTCTGTGCTCCTTTAGGAAAAATATTTTATTTCCATAATCCTCAAGTCATGTTATTTAATGTTGAACTATTTGACAATTGAAAGCTCACACTCTTACTATTTCTGGTGCTCGAACCCGATATCTCAAAGAATAACATTTTTTTTACCATTAAGGTTGCTCGGTTTATGCCACACTAAAATTTGAATCATTATTTATTGTGCATAAAAGTAAGACGGGTGAAAGAGAAAAAAATCATTTAAGGGTAAAAATGATAAAAATATGCGGAATCGAAAATGTTATTAAAATACAATATTTTAAGTTGAGAGCAATCTAAAATGTTATTTTTTTATAATATTTTCAGTTACAACTTAAAATATTACAACGAAGACAACATTTTAGGTTCAATTGAGAATATTATAAGAAAATTAACGTTTTAGTTAAATGAAAATTTTTATGGAAAAAATATCGTTTTAAGCTATACTCGATCTAAAATGTTATGATTTTTTATAACAAATTTGATTGTGTCAATCGTTACCCTTCATTAACTTCAAATTAAATTTTTTTGGGTATAATCACCGGTATCAATCTATTAATTGATTAATCCGAATCGAGTACTGTATATTATTCAACATGGATAATGATATGGACACTTTATAATCCAACTTAACATAATGCTCCACAGTTGTCCCTAGAAGTAACACAACCAAAAATAACCTTAACATTCTTCGGTCGGAATTGTAGGGCCACATGTTGCAGCAGTTAAATTTAAAGGACACATTTTGTACGGATGGATGCTTGGCAAGTAAAATCCTAAAAAATAACAGCAGTTGTCTCCTACTTTTTACTTGTTCTGCCATTTTCATATGAAGTCGGTGGTTGCAGCTCTTACATGAACCAATCTTTTTGATAATGCCATGGAAATAAATTCAGAAACTAGATATGCAAATTGCAAGCACAATGCTTTCTTTGTAGAAAATTGGCTAGGAGAGATAAATGTTGTATGAAACATCAATTCCTCTCTAGAGAAGGGGAGCGACAATCTGCCACACCTTGATGTCACAGTCCAAGCTCCCGCTGTAAACAACATAGGATGTGTCGGAGCGGTCGCGGCGATCCAACGCTCCGGCTAAGCACTTAACGGGGCCTTTATGCCCTTCCAGCACCGCTAAACATGAGTAGTTTCCATCCACCCCTCTCCTCCAGATTCTGATTGTTTTATCTGCTGAACCGCTGCAAACTATGTCCGACACAACAGCCAAGCTCAATATCGATTTCGTATGTCCCCTCAGCGCACCAGCCACTGTCATGCCATCGCCGCCGACGTCCTTCTCCCAGACGACTATCGACCTGTCGCTCGCACCCGAGTATAAAGTAGACCCGTCAAGACTTATGGCTAAAGCATTGATCCCGGAATTGTGTTGTTCGAGTGTAGCGACTAGAGAATGGCTTTTGTCCCCTGGGAGTTTCCTCCACACCTTGATTTTCTTGTCAGTTGATCCTGTATAAACATCTCCGTCGTCCGATAACGCCACCGCGTTTATCGCATCGTCGTGAGCGTTTGTTACCGATTCCAAGCATTTGAAATCATTGGTTCTCCAGATTTTGAGTGTCCTGTCCCAGGAAACAGAATAAAGAAGAGTCTCGTCCCTGGATAAGGCCAGTGCGGATACTGTATCCACATGATGGACCCAGGTGCACGTCTTGTGTCTTCGGATTCGGACATGATTCTTGGGCAGGAGAAGCTTCACGGCACGGTCGCTTAGCGTCGGGAGCGTTGCCAATCGAGTGTACTTCTGGTTATCAGGATCATCATTATTGATTTTCCATACTCGTATCTTGTGATCTTGATGAGCACTGAAGAGTTTATCAGTTAACATTACCAAGGACTTAACAGCACCCTTTCCCACAGCTAGTATGTTATTATTCAGATTTTCATATTCGAATTCTGAGTTGAGATCGTCACACTTCCATAATCGGATCTCCTCATTAGAAGAGCCCGTATAAAGGAACTTTCCGGCAACGGCGAGCGAGGAGACATAGGAAGTGTGGCCTTTTAGAGTGGCGAGGCAGTGGTGTTGGATGTTGGAAAGATAGTATTGTTGCAGGTGAAGCTGGGAAGTGAGGGAAGGAACTGATGGGAGGCTTGGCTGAGACAATAGAGATATGGAAGAATCTGATTGAAAGCTGTGAAGCTGAGATTCAGAATCATGATTCCAACAACAAAATTGATGGTCTGACATATTTCTTACAAAAACATACGCAGAAAAGAGATGAATAGCATATGATGGAAGAGAGTGAAGTGAGTCCAAAATATATAGAAGATAATCTGTTTTAATCATTTGGGTGATTATAATGTAGAATATGCATACACACCTCTCAGACCTAACTGTTCGACTGCAGGTCTTTGAGGAAGAACAACACTAATGAAAATAAAAGTTACCTTCTTTTTGCTATGAGACGTTCAATTTGATAGTAGTTATATTATCTTTTTGCTATGAGACATTCAATTTGATGGTAGTTATATTATCTGGGAACAAGCATGATAATACTGCTTTTATGAATATTCAGGGTTGAAACTCAACACAGGCAAATGAGAGATTTTCACTGCAGGTATTTCAGTCCTTAATTTTGATACTATCATCAACTGTTCTGGTTTTAAACATGGTAGGCTGCCTGTCAGATACCTGGGGGTTCCTCTTGTCACCAGGAAACTTACCGATAAAGATTGCCAAGCTCTGCTTGACAATATCAAGAGTAGACTCCACCAATGGTCTAGGAAGAAAATGAGTTATGCAAGTAGGGCTGAGCTTATTAAGACTGTCCTCTACAGCGTTGTTAATTATTGGTGTAGACAGCTAGTCTTGCCACAGTCCATTATCAAGAAGATTGAGCAATTATGTTCCAGATTCTTATGGAAAGGATCATACATTTCTGATGCTGGTGCAAGGGTGAGTTGGGTGAAAATTTGCAAACCAAAATCAGAAGGAGGTATGGGATTAAAGGACATCAAGTCCTGGAACAACGCCTGTATAATTTTTCTTATCAGGAAATTACTTCAGAGAGAGGGTTCTCTATGGGTAGCGTGGCTCCATACCTACATAATTAAACAAAATGATTTCTGGACCATGGCAGAACCGCAAACTGCTAGCTGGAGCTTCAAGCAAATGCTGAAATTCAGAATTGTTGCTCAAACAATGCGTGTAATAGCAGTAAAAAGCACTGCAGAAATTTGGGAACTGATCCGCCCCAGAGATTCTAAAGTCTCATGGCATAAACTACTATGGTATCCTTTTCATGTCCCGAAGCATAGCATTGTCTCATGGATGGTTATTTTGGATCGGCTTCCCACTAGGGACAGACTGCACCGACTTGGTCTTATTACCAATGACCTTTGCATTTTCTGCTCGGAAGCAAAGGAAACTAGAAACCACCTCTTTGCCGAGTGCTCGAAGACTACTTCCATTTGGAGATCAATCCTTCAACTTTCTGGTTTGAATAGGCAATTCTCGACTTGGACTAACCTGCTGGAGTGGGCGACCTCTACATGGAAAGGCAAATCACTGCTTTCTTGCATTCTGAAGCTGTCATGGTGCGCCTATAATTACTTCATTTGGGAGGAACGAAATCGTAGGATATTCAAGGGAATTTGCAGAACTGATGAAGTAATTATCAAAATCATTAAGGAGGTGGTAGGAACTCTTCTAAGTAATAGAAATGTTAATAGATTAGATAGCATTAACTTAGCTCTTTGTGATCATTGGGATATAGTCTAATTTTGCTGTAACTAGTTCCCTTTTCTTGTTCCTTTGACTGCACTGTTTTCTCTTGTTACTAGCTTACTGCTATTTGGGTAATAAAAGCTTGAATTATTCAAAAAAAAAAAAGTTGTCGCAACATTTATGAGCTAAGCAAGTTTGACCCATTACTCCTAATATGACGGGTTCTTCCTTTATTTTGTAAGGATCATCAAAAGCCAAAGCATCCAGAGGATTTCTTCCACGTTAATCTGCAGTGATAAAAGAATGAATTTTAATGTCTGCTAAATTTTACTCTAAAATTAGGGTGGGAGAAAGGCCAACAATCGTCGGGGCGGGACTTGATCAGGAGGAAGTAATGTATTTACGGGTAGGGGATAGGGTGGAAAAAAAAATGATCCGTCCTGTTCCGTGGCAGGTGATAAAAAGAAAACATATTATTTTGCTAGGGTTAACTCATTGATGGAGACTTGTTCGGTATACAGATAAAAAAATATAGTTAATTGGTTTGCTGATAAGGTAGGTGGAGATAGAAAATTATGGTTAAAAGTCATTAACTTCAAGGGCAGGATAAAAGGTTGGAAGTGATATAGGTAGGCAAAAATGTTTGTATTCATTGTACTATTGACCTCAAGGTATCATTTGGAAGCTAGTCAAGAAAAATAAAAGACACAAGATTTCATATTGAATTTCATTAATCATATTTGCCGGCAGTGGATGACAACTGATTGCTGGTTCGATTTGAGATTGTCTAGCACTACATCTTTTCACTCTAATTGTTGTTATTAGATTAGTGTAATTGTTGCACTAGGCGTTCGACCTCAAGGTTAGTGAATTTCTCCAATGATTCGTCGTTTGAAAATAAAAATAGACAAACGGTGATATTACTCTTCTCTTAGCATCGAAAAAAGATGATAAGCTTTCGAAATTCGAAAGGAGAGGGGAGAACTTTTGTGACAAACCAAAGCGAATTTGCTGGGATGATAGAAAATGAAAATTAGCTGAGAGTTTATAGGCATGAGGACCAATAACATAAATTCGGACTAGAAAATCTATCATAGAGGTAGACGAAAAATATGCCAAAAAATAGAGAAAACGTGTCACAAAAGTAGAGTAAAACGTATCAAAAAGTATGTGAAAATATGTGAAAAAACAAAATATCAAACAAAAGAGATTTTTATTTAAAATTAGAAAAAACTAAATAAAAATAACAAACCAAAACACGATATAAAAACAATGATAAAGATGAACACCGACGATGCCGCCACCGCCGGTTACATCAAAATAAAAGAAAGAATGTTTAAGTACTCTCAAATCATTTAACAATAAACACTCGGTCGTCTTTAACTTGAATATCGTTGTTAATATTTTAACGATGAAGGATAAAAATAGAAAAATATATAATGTTAATGTTTTGTGTTGAAATGCAAAGAAACTATGATCCACATAGGTTGGATATAGACATCTTTTAAGTACTTAAATAAAGTCATTCAAACTAACTTTGATTTATGATTGGCTGTAAGTTCTATATATGTGTTATTTCTAATGATTGCATTAATGTATGTTTATGGCACCTAATATGTATTTTTTTACACAACACTTAAATTTATCATTAAAACAATTTTTTTCTAAATTTTAAAATGAGTCATGGAGGAATTTGAGGGCTATTCTTTTTATCTTTCTTTTACTAATTTGTCTCTCATTCTTCTCCTACAAATATCAAGATAAATCTCCAACCAAAGCCTATCCGAGGCCTTTTCAAAGTCTGCTTTTTTCATCAACTTGCTTGCTAACCGACTCATCATCCATTTTGGGTATCTTTATGTGCATTTTTGTGCTTTATACGTTGGACTATCATTGAGAAATATTTGCTCATTGTCATCTACCCAAAATCGATTATCATTACAATCGGTAACGACAGACACATGATTTTATGTTGGAAGACGAATTTTAAAATATTAAGAGATGACGAACTTATAAAATCTTAGAAGAAAAATATATATTAGCAATATAAAATACAAAGAAAAAAATTAAAATATATGATAATTTATAATTTATAAGAGATAACTGGATCGGTCCATCCCTGTGTACCGGTGTGAAATTTATTAATTTATCATTTATTTGCATATAAATAATATATGTATCTACGCATGCATGCATGCATATAATTTACAAAATTCTGATGAGGCATGCATGCATATAATGAGCTTCACATGAAATTGTTATTAGAATGTTTTTTTTATTTAATTTGTAAAATCTAATTCTTCATATATACCATTGTTCAATTAAACAAAATAATGAAGGATTTAGTGGATTGTCAGTCTTAATCATGTCCACAGGGAAGCTAATAGCATAGCTGATGCTCTGGCTCACTTTCATTGCTCAACTTTGCCCGTCATCATCGTTCTCTCTCACCCGTCTGCTGAGGACTCTTCCAGACAACTGGAGCAGAAGCTGTAACCACTGTTAATTCAGCACTTCCCTTTTGTTATCAAAAAAAGAAATTAAGCAGATGATTTCTTTGTTAGTGGGGTAAGATATGCATAACAAACACTAAATTGTATCCACCAAAGCAATGGGGAAAGGCAAAAAGGTTGTATTGCATCGTACTAACATGGGTTCCTTTCTAACAAAACATGATAAAACTTCTGAATTCAATATAACATATTTATCCAACTCACTTCTCACTACAATTTTTTTATATGTTTCGCAGTAAAATTAAATAATTTATATGACAATTCCATTTTTTGTTTCGAAAAACTTTAATAGAACTAAAACCACGTAAATATGCGGAACTAGTATTAAATTACGAGAGGGGCCAAATTGCTTATTTTTTAAACTAACAAGATTATAAAAGGTAACTAAACCACAAAAATAGAGGATTGAGATTTAATTTCAAAACTGTCATTTCCTAAAAAATAATTAAACAAAAAAAAGTTAGGAGAAAGACTTAATTTTATTCCATTTTATAAATTGAATTTTTTTATCACTCTGATCATTTTTTCTCTAACAATTGAATAACGTGGAATAATTTAATATTAAATAGATCACGTTAGATTGATATTGAATATCAATTACTAATATTTAATCCCAAACAAGATTTTAAAATAAAAAAATTAAATTAAATTTACTAAACCCAACCCAAACCTTCTCATTTCATCTGTATTCTTCTTGTGTTTCGAAGGCAGGAAGCTTTGGGGGATTGAGAAAAAAGAAGAGGAGGAAGATTTTGGACAAAAAAGGATCATTAGAAGGAGGATTTCATCTCATAAGCTTGAGAATAGGGAATTTGTTGGTAGTTCTAAAGATTTTTCTCGTGCTAGTTCCGTTATCTAAGGTTTCTTTTCTCTTGATTACCCTTTTTCAATCTTGAATCTTCCTTCTCTTCTTTTTTGTCAATCCACTAACGATTCCTTCCTTCTTTGTCAATCGCAAATGCAATGGATGGTTGAAATGACGATAAATTTTGTTTGTCTATTTCATTCCTCTTTGTTTCTCTGTTACATAAAATTCCTTCTT